TGGTGTGGGTAGAGAGAGAATGAGGCCATGCACTTTCTCCAGACATATGGTTGGAATGTCATAACTTTTTTTTTTTTTTTTTTTAAGTAAGCTCCAGGGATGTCTGGGTGGCTTAGTCGGTTAAGCGTCTGCCTTCGGCTCAGGTCATAATCCCAGGGTCCTAGGACAGAGCCCCGCATCAGGCTCCCTGGTCAGTGGGGAGCCTGCCACTCCCCCTGCTTGTGCTCGCTGACAAATAAATTTAAAAAAATCTTAAGAAAAAAATAAAATAAGCTCTATGCCCAACGTGGGGCTTGAACTCATGACCCTGAGATCAGGAGTTGCATGCTCTACCGAGTCAGCCCGGCGCCCCAATGTCATAACTTAACCCCTATGCCCCACCATCTGCCTGTTGGGGTGCCAGAAGATCTACAGAAAGTGGCTCGAGCCCCAAACTGCTCCCTATCTTGATCTCTTGGGGGTACATCCCTAGTCACATAGCAGCCTGCTGGTGGACTGATGACAGGCTCCTCTCTTTACATGTCTGACTCTGCTCAGATCCCACTAGAATGTACCGTGGCCAGGGCCATGTGAAATGTTTTCCTTGGCTCAGCAATTTGTTTTCACACTTTGCTGTGGGAAAGTTAAGTCAGGGAGTTCAGTCACTGAAGAGCATTTCGGACAGGTGAGAAACTTCAAACTGGTTGCCACTGGCTGAGGACACTGGAACTCTTCAAATGTCACCTGGGTGTCTTCCTTCAACTGTTTTCCTTTGTTTGAAGGCTTCTGCAGGCAGCAGACCAACAGTGTGCTGAATCTGCCTCAGGGGAAAATGGGTGTGCAAGTCCTAACCTTGCATTTCTATGGCTTTACTGTCTTTGGAAATCCTTTTCCCATTTGTTTCCTGATGTAGTTGGGTTCTAGGAGGGATTTATTAAAGGAAGACACAAAATACCATCTAGGGTTCAACTGAAACATAAATGTTTCAGGTTTTGTTCACTATCTTTGGCTATTTCTGACTAGTTATTTGTTTTAACTTTTTTAATCTTATATTTTAGTGTGAGATGTCATTTTAGATTCTCCAGAAACCTAGAGACTGTTGTTTTTATAAAAAACAAAGCTTAAGAGTGACAGTATTTTAGAAAGAGCTCCCTCTTTTTAGACTATCATCTTGGGTCACTGTTGGGTTTTCTTTATAAGCCCATGACATATATGGCCTTACCTCAAGGTATGTTGGTTTTATTGACCAGAGTATGTGTGTCAGCAACCCAAAGCTGGGGCGGTTCATACGAGTGAGAACAGAATGTTCTGCTTTCTCTGCACGGACTCAGAGTTTCTGGTCTAGTGGGAATTAATTAATTATCACATTCTTCTAGGTACTGTAATTACAAAGGGTATAAGGTGTGTCCTCACCAAGCTTACGAGCTCACACGGCAGAAGTGAGCAAAGTGGGCTGGTGTGAGGCGAGCAGAAGAGACAACAGGATGGTCAGGGGCTGACATCCGTTTCAGTGTTGGGGAGCAGTGGGGCGAGGCAGAAAGGGGAACCGGAGAGGACAAGCCCTGGTCTGGGGATGGTGGGGCAGGTGCACCTAAATTCTAGTCAAATGGCACATTTGGGAGTTCAGGCCTGATCTAATGCCGCCATTTGTCTGTTTATTCAATAGGTCTGGGCATCCACATGGAGAATAAAACATGACTTCTAAAATGCTGACAACTAATTAAAACTACCAAAGAACAATGCAGATTATCATGTACTGCCACATAAAACACATCTGTGGGCTGAATACAACTCCCCTGGGCTGCCCAGAGCCAGTGGGGAAACTGAGGTAAAGAGATGGTAATTGCTTGCGTGGCTGTGTGTCCCCACAAATGGCCAGCTTTTCCAAACCGCAAGGATGGCCCAGCTGTTTCTGGAAGATCCTACACTCAGCCCACGGAAAGGACTTTAAGAGTCTGTGGTCAGGGCAAAGAGCTTGGGAATGACCTTGATGTTTCTCTTTACATGGGGAAGATGCCAACACCTTTCTTGGAAACAGAAGAACTTAGTGACATGAGATGTTCAAAAGTAAAATTCAACTGAATAAATTCAAGATCAAATTGGCTTTATTCAGTGATTTATGAATCAGGCTGCATCCCATCTAGCAAGTAGAAAGGAGTTCCAAGGAGTTGTACAAGATGGGAGACTTGTATAAGCAGAAGGGGGCAGGGACAGGGAAAGAGTAGACGATCTCATCTTTCTTTGGGGGACAGAAGGGGTCTATCAGGCAGACTACTTCATTAGAGCTGACCAGGGAAATTCCAGACTGATTGGCTAAGCACATTTCTGGGGCAGGTTGAAACTGCAATTGGGTTAGGTATTACGTTTTGGTTTGGTGATATGGGCTTAGCACAAGTGACTCCATTTTGGACCTACTGTCTCTTTTTTAACAGAGGTGAACTTTTTAGAGCTGAGACAGAGTGCCCTCTGGGTCAGTAGCTGAGAACATGGGTTTGGGGGTTTGAATCGATCAGACTGAATACTAAGCTCTGCCATTTACTAGCTCTGGGACTCTGGGCAAATCGCTTCTGTGAGCCGGCTCAGTTTTCTCATTTATACAACAAGAACAAGAATTCCCACTTGAGAAGGGAGTTGTGAGGACTCCATGAGTCACTATATAGAGTGCTGGGAGCTAGGCCTGGCACATAGCTAGAGCTTTTATGGAAAGCTTATTATTAATAGCAATATTTATAATGTGAATGGGGGGAGAGACAGTCAATCATCCTGATTATCAAAATGCAATGGTGTGTAAGTGTGATGGACAATTAGCTCCCTGAGCCAAGAGCAGGGCTTGGGATCCAGAGGGAAGAGAACAAGAAACCACCTGCCCCCTGCTTTCAGAAGGCTTCCTCCAGCTGATTGGGGGTGGGGTGGGTCTTAGCCACAGATGAGGTTATTGCTTTGGCTCACCTGATGATCCAGGCTTGAGGTTGTTGGCTCTCACAAAGTTTATACCAGGCCCTGATCTGGTGGGGAAGGCATCAGAGGAAGAAAAACTAAGCTGAAATTTGGTCAGAACTTGGCAAAGACTTGTCCTCTTTCTCCAAAGACGATCCTCCCAACCCATAGCTGGGTGCATTGGGCACTGATGGAGGGGTGAATGCCTTCTGCCTGCCGCACTGGGAGGCTTTCTGATATCTGGGCCAGAGGCAAAACTTCCTTTCTGGGCTAGTGTTTTCCACAATGACTGGGCTACTAACAAAACAATCCCATCAGTCCTCCAGGGGTCCGATGTATATTTTAATAAAAATGACAATCATGAAGAATGACTGATGATCATCATCACCGTGGCTTGTATTTACCGGGTAGGGAGGGCTCAAGCTCTGCAGACACGACCTGGGGCCTCACACAGTCCTATCAGGAGGAAGGTAGCCAGCTCGCTTCATCAGGTGAGGCTTGAAGCCACCCAAGGGGCCTGCCCCCACTCACACAGCTGCACCTCCGAAAGAGGAAAGCCCCGCCCACCGCTTTTTCTGCGCAAGCTCTCCCGAGTCACAATAGCTCTTCGGCTAATGCATTGGACACCCTTAGCATCATGGTTAAGCACTCAGCTTCAGGAGCTAGACCGTCGACGTTTGACTGCAAGCTTTGCTCTGCGACCTGGGCACGAGCTCTCTGTGCCTAACTCGTGGGGTCATGAGGAGGATTACATGAGTTAGCACACAGATCAGGCCTGGAATGGTGTCTGGCGTGAAGCAAAAAAAGTTCAATAAATGCTAGCTTTTGTTAACATTTTAGTATCACTTACTGGTACTATTAAGTTGGACCATATGGAATTGCTACCTTTCTGCCAGTCATGACCTATAGAAATGGCAACTTCATATAGACGGGTGGTTTTTAATGGGGGCGGAGGGCGGATTTTCTTTCCTCCCACCCCTCAGGGGACATTTGGCAATCTGGAGACATTTTGATGGTCACCACAGTGAGGTGGTGGGGCTCCTGGCACCTAGTGGGTGGAGGCCAGGGCTGCTGCTAACATCCCTCCGTGCACAGCAAAGGATTACCCAGCCCCGGATGTCAATAGTGCCGAGGTTCAGTATGGGGCCACCTAAGAGTATTCGACTACGGACAGATTCATTTTCTTAAAACATCCCTTCCCCAAACCAACGTGGTTCCCACCACCTAGAGAATAAAGGCTCACTTCCAATAGGCTCTGGCCTCCCACTTGTCTCCAATCCTGTCTCCTCCTGCTGTAGCCACAACAGGTAGCCTATAGCAGCAGGTCCCCCGACACTCCAGGCCTAGAATAACCTCTCTCTTCTCCCCACTAGGCAAACCCTGACACCTGCTCTGGGGAGCTTTCCTCAAGTGCCTTTCTTCCCCAGGCTGGCTGACCACGGCAATCCCCAGTGGCTTTTAACTAATGTGACCCCTGGGTCCCATTCCTGGAGATGATTCAATGGGTTGGGGTGGGGCTTGGCTATACTTTAAGAAGCAGCCCCGGGGGGCTCATGCTCGGCCTGGCGTGGAAACCTCTGTGCACTGGCACACATCTTGATTTCCAAGCTGTTCTTCGTTCTGATACGGCGTATGTACACTAACCATTTGCATGGACTTCCAGCTTATTTTATTAGCTGTGCTATAAAGATGGTGGAGGGCAGAGACCTCTTTTTGGAGACACTGGCTGCTCAGAGGGATCCAATCCAACACCTTGCCCTCCAGAAATTCTAGAGTGAATTAAACTTGAATCCAGGACTCTTCAGACTTTGCAATAACCCAGGAGTGACCCAAGGTGCTTGTGAAAAATGCAGACCCCCAGGCTCCAACCCTCAAGGGCTCTGCCTCAGTGACTTTGAGCTGGGGCCCTGGAATCTGGACTTTTCACCAGCTGGGTATGAAGCAGCAGTCCCTCAGCCTGCTGCTCTGATCCTCCATGTCCAGCTTCCGGGGTCTCAGGCATGTCTCGTGGAGGTAAACGTTCTTGTAATTGGTTGCTGGGACGCCCGCAGCCCCAGAATCTCAGGACACGAGGGAACACTTACACACATGCTGGCTTGTCTTCCTGCACCAAAAACCTGCAGGTTCCATGGAAGCAGAACTGACTGTGGGAATCTGGGCAGTCATTAAAATGGGACACCACAGCTGCGGCCACGGGCGGGTCTGCTGGAGAGAGAGAAGACATTTGGCTCAGACCCATGGCTTAGCAAGACAAACCTGCAGGCCCTCACCAATCAAGGAGCAGGGGCGCCCTCTTGGCTGGGATTTCTAGTCCCTCCCTGCCTGTCGTCCTCAGCGCTCCCTCACTTTTCTAATGGCCAGTCCAGGACCAGAGATGCCTACATCACATGCTTCCCAGCAGGGCTGTATTATGCACTTACCAAGGTCAAAACCAAAACAATCTCTCCAAAAGATTCAGTGTAATTCAGAGATACCAGGGCAATTTTAGCTACCAGAGCATTTAAAGCCTATTCCCCACGAGACCTGATTTTATTTTTTTGCAAAGAGACAGTGATCATTCTTTTAAGAGAGCCTTCACAACACTGGTTTTTTAAAAAAGATTTTATTTATTTTTTGACAGAGAGAGATATCCAGAGAGGGAACACAAGCAGGGGGAGTGGGAGAGGGAGAAGCAGGCTTCCCCCAGAGCAGGGAGCCCGATGCAGGGCTCGATCCCAGGACCCTGGGATCATGACCTGAGCCGAAGGCAGACGCTTAACGACCGAGCCACCCAGGTGCCCCTACAAAACTCTGTTTTAAAGGCAAGAAACCAGAAGGTAATTACAGAGGAGTACTAAATGACCATTAAATTGATGCTGAAGAAGAACAGTTAATGACACAAAAAGATGCTCATGATACATTATTGTAAGTGAAACTGGTACATTTCCCATTTGGCCTGTAACGTATAATTCTACTGAAATAAACAGAAATTTAGATACAAAGAAGTCTGGGAAAGCTATACATAAAAATGGTAGCAAGAGGCTCTCCGGGGCAGGGGGATTAGGAGTGATCCCGCCATGAAGATGACTGAAAGCCCGGAAGTCCATCTGGGAGCAGCACACACAGTACCGAAAAAGCTGGGAGCTGGTGGGAAGGGCGGCAGAGTCTGGGAAAAAGGTCCCACTCACAGCCCTGGCTCCCGCCACTCACAAGAGCCTGGGGTGTTACCAAACCTTTCTGGGTTTTCCTTCCTTGGCTTTCAGACAGGAATAAAAACAGCCACCAGGAGTACCCTATGGAACAACACATGAACAGACCTGCTGACCAGCCCACAGGGCACCACTTTGGATTTATTTTAATGGACTCCAGTAGCCTTGTTTTGTCCAAATAACACTGGAGACCCAGTAGATAGCTATTTCAAGATGGCACGATAGATGCAGTTTCCATGCGTTTTCAAGAAGTCCTTTTATGCTTGTGTTTTGGGGAGTGGGTCTTTCTTACTTTTTTTTTTTGAAAAAAGTATGTTCTTAGAGCTCTTGCTCTTTGAGAAAAGGCAGACCATTTCTTATTGTGGGGTTTTAGACTACCACTAAATATTAAACTCACATTGCCATCTCTCCATTCATGAATTGCTTCTAGAAGTGTCATCTTTGGAAATCTCATAAGTCCAATGGAAAAACTGGAGGCTGAAAATTCAACGGATTTCCTGGTGCAGAAGGTGAGAGACTGCTTAGTGGCCCTGAGCCCGGGCTTAAGATGCAGAAACACAAGGGTCAGTCTGAATCCTGCCTCTGCCACTACTTGAGCTCCTCTGCCTGCCTCTGCTTCCATAAGATGGGGAGTCCACCTGCCTCCTGGCTGGCTCTGAGGGCTGACCAAAGCAAAAGTTGCTCAGTGCTGGACTCAGTACATGCTCTGGTACGTACCACTCGGCTGCTAGTTCTTCCATCACTGATAATCCCAAGATGCTAATGAATCTCCACGTGTGGTCAGACCATTATAGTATATAATCTCTCCCTCCCACCATAAATTCAGTGTAGTGTAACAAAAAATCCAAGTGTCCTTATAGACTTCCCCACGTGAGGACAGGCAGAGGCGCCCAAAGCCAGGTGGAGATGCCGACCCGGGGCTGCTGGCCAGCCTTGCCCCTGCTGTGGCAGGTCCCTGTCCAGCAGCGGCCTCCAGGACATGTGGTCCAACTGCCTCAGCTGGTAACAGCAAGCCTGCGAGTCTCAGGCCTGGGTGGTTGAGGAATGGGCTTGCTCACTTACAGACCGTGGATACCGGGATGTTGAGGCTGGAAGGGTCCGCTGCAGTTCACTAACTGGCTTCTCTGTGCTCATTAAACTTGTCAAAGAGCAAATACAAAAAGATGAGGGGCTGGAGACCAGTGGATCTAATTTGATTTAGACCCTGAAAAAGGCTTTTGATAAGCTCCACAAAAGGCCCTTTAGACGACTACCTCCAAGCAGCTAGTGGGAGACCCTTGTCAGGGTTCAGAGTTGGGCTCCTCAAATGTCTGTGGACCAGCAGCTTTATGCCCCCTGGAGCTCACCAGAGAGCCCAGTTCACAGGCCCTGCCCTTGGACCTACTGAATTAGGATCTTTGGGATGGTGCCCAAGAATCTCTGTGACAAGATTTCTAGGTGATTTTTTTCCCCAAAAGTCAAGTTTATTGAGATAGAATTGATGTAGCATACCCGGGCTCTCCAGGTCATTCTGATGTGCACTGATGTGGAGACCTGGGCTTGTATTATACACGAGATGCACTGTTCAGAGACAAAAGACCTCTTAGAAAAGCAAAACAACAGGGGTCTTGAAAGGGACCCTTTTTGGAGCTGGTCATCTGCCAGCTCTTCAAAACCCAAGTGGTACTAAGGCCTGCAATCTGCTCACATTCTTTGTGGTCAAGTGTCAGGTCACTGGATACGCACTAGAAGAACAACTCTGGATCTGTCCTTTGGGAACGCTACTCTCCAAAACGGATCAGTAAGGAGTAGATTCAAGGCCATGTTCTCAGTTAGCCTGTATTTATGGATATTTTGCCTCATCTCATAAATGACTCCAGGAGTCTTTATAAAAATAGGTCTCGTCAAAAGGGAATGCAAATGGGAAAGACATGCGAGAGAGAGCGAGAGAGAGACAGAGGCAGAGAAGGGGTGGGGAGAGAGGAACAGAGGGAGACAGAGACAGGCAGTGCAAAAGGGAAGGGGACATCAGGGCAAAGACGAATAAGGGGGAAGACAAAGAGGTTGGGTGTTAGGTTCATATACGAAAACATGCATCAGGCAGTCACGCCATGTGCTGAAGCTGAGTAGCATATGGAGCTCTATGCCTCCTAGCGCAGCCCAAGCAAGGACGCACAGGGGTCATCAGATGGAAATGTGCTCATTCTGCACATGCGGGGCAGGTTCAGCTTGGCCCAGGTCTATGGGCACAGAGCAACCCTCCTTCTGTGGCTGCTTTTGAAGAGGACTTATGTGTTACGGTGGACAATATCCTCCTCGATTTCCTGGTGACGAGGCAGAAGCATCCGCCAATGTAAACCCTCTGGGTGTCACGCAGCTCACTAAGAAGCCAAAGAGCCCAGGCCACGAGGATGGTCCCTGCCACGGTCATGGTGACGGCAGCTCACGCACGTCAGAGACCAGGATGAGCACGGGCGTCTGAGGCAGAACTCTGGCTCCATAATCCCACCTGCCTGACTCAGCCCAAGGCACTGAGGTGCCAAGGGAGCTCGATGCCAGTCGGCTATCATAATCACGAAAACACCATTTATTTTTAAAACCTTCTTCCTGATCACAAAAGCGATACATCGCTGTAGAAACCTTTTGTAAATGCCAATGTGACATTAAACAAAAGCACCTTAGAGTATAAAAAATAAAAGCAAGAGAATTATGTAAGTACATACTGTACACATGCACTCATGTAAACTACTGCTTCCTTCTGTTACTTGCATTTTTCCCCTTTGATATAATCACAAACATCTTAAGAGCAAGCACTTTGTTCAAGAATGGACACAGGGTGACGTCCTGACCCCAGATCCCAAGAAGCTCCATGTGTGTAATGTGCAGGGCGGGTCCTGTTTCCAGCAGCACACTTGGCAGCTTTGGGTTTACATGATCTGCACTTGAGAAGTGGAGGGGAAGGGGGGAACCAGACAGCGGTCCCGGGGCGGGGAGCCACACCGTGGCCCTGTGCTCTCCCTGTGCCACCTCAGTGCGAGCCAGCCAGCCACAGCATGAGGGGAGGCAGTGGGCACGCCGGCCCCTAGAATTGCCGCGCAGGCCTCACGGACCCCGGGGCCCAGAAGCCCCGCGCCAAGTGCGAAGCAGACCACAAGTGCCGGGCAGTGATCGTTCCCGTTCTAGGGCTTTTAAAGATGTTTGCCTCGGACACTACCAGAATCAGCAGAGAAAACTCCAGCACTGCAGCATGGTCAGGCCAGACACACAAGACCATTCCTGCTGATGTTCCCAGAAGCTTCCCCAAGGTTCCGGAGGAAAGGGAGTCTGGGGAAGGTCAGAAGGAGGAGAGGAGGGGCTCCCACTTTCTGCGTGTCTGCTATGTTACGGGTGCTGCTCGTGTATCACCTCTCCAATCCAGGCAGGGCAGGCAGTCACGCCAGGTGGAGGATTTGCTCAGTAACTTCAATCAAAATGAGCTTTACAAGGAAACCCCCAAATTCCCAGCTTTGTCCCAGAGAATGAGTGTCTCTTTTTCCCTTCCTCCTTCTCTCTCTCTCCCCCTACTCTTTCTCTACCTTCCTCTACTCTCTTGCCTTTTCCCCTCATAATTTGTCTTTCTTTTCTTTCTAAAAACTCAAGGAAATATCAAGTGGAGGAAGGAAAAGCCTAGATAGTTACATAGGAAAGGAAGGCAGTGAAGGCCAACAGGCAAGTCCAAGGAGGACCCCCCAGAAGTCCAGACACTGGCTGCACTCCCCTGGGCTCTGGACCCTGCGTTTGTCTCCTCCAGGCCCCGATCCGAGTCTGATTAGTCCTCAGGGCTTGACTGGAAAACTAAATGCTCCCATTTTTGGAACAGACCTCATACCAAGCCCATCCATAGCTGGAATTTCAAAGCCTCAGTTCCTGTTGCTCTGAAATTTATGAGAGGCCTCTGACACCATTAAGCAAACGGACATCTTGCAGACACCATGGTCTCCAGGGAAGCTGTGGAAGCTTTGCCCAGAGACCAAAGACCCACTAATAGGGCCCGGAGCCCAGCTCCACTCATGGGAAAAGGGTATGGAATAGTGATCAAGGGGCACGAAAACCAGGGATTCAATTCACAGGACGGGTCTCTCCAGCTCAGGAGGGCCAGGGAGGCAGCCATGTGGACAGTTCCCCGAGAAGCAGCATCCACACCACCAAGTGCAACCACCCCTTTTGCAGAGCAGCCCTACTTGGACTTTCTGGGTGGGTCAGGGGGAGCCTGCCGAAGCGGTGGCCCTCCCTCTCTTCCCAGATGTTAGAAGTTGCGGACACGTTTGCCCATTGCAAAGCTTACGTCATTTATAGCCATTTCATCACTTCCTCAAATATCACGGCTAACTCTGTGACAATTTAATAACGACGCCTGGCTTTTTAGTCAGAACTTTCAGCCAAGGTTTTTGACCTGGGACTAAATATGTTCTCTTCAGACACTACAATGGCAAAACCAACTAATGCTTCTGGAATGTCTAGGAGAAAAGGCAGTAGATGACTTTAATGAAGACGGGAGTGAGCAAGTGGCCCCCGGTGAAGCCAGGGGTGGGTACGCAGCGGAGACCCAAACTCTGATGCTCCCTGGGCACTGGGGCCTCCATCCTGCCCCAGTGCCAGGCTCAGTTCTGGGATGGAGGAGGTTTGCTGCAGGCCACCGTCAGGCCCATCTCACAGGGTTGGCATTCCATGCTCATGTGAGGCAACGTGTGAACTGATGGAGTTAGCTAGCGTGGGAAGGAAAGGCTGGTGCGCAGGGCGGCAGAAGTGCTAAGCCAGTGCTTAGAGAAGTCAGGGGAGTAGAACACAGAAGTGTCTCCACATGCAGACAGGGGAGCAGAGACTCTGGCCCCTGGGGGCTTGAGGGGTGAGAAGAACTCTTAGGTTTGTAAGTGATCCTGAGGATGAAGAGCACTGTCAGGACTGAGTGTGAGGACGCTGCTGACCTCTGCCGCAGAGAGGAATGTCTCATGAAGAAAGATAACGAGTACGGGCATTTCCCGGGGCCGTGTGAGTGGGCAGAACAGGGGGGCAGCTTTGAAGTGAGCAGCGGAAATCAGCAGAGCACGGGAAAGTAACCCCAGTCACATTTCCAGGAGGAGGAGAACACACCTTACTCCCTGGGATGGGTCTGGAGGATGAGATCAATATAATCATCCAACTCATTCACTAGTAAAACCAAGAACGGTGAATACTTAAAAAATAAAGCAATTTGAAAACAGTTTGGCTTCAGAGTAGCAACACTTAAGAGAGAAGGGACGTTCATTTTAGCTAAGCAATGAAAGGAAAAGTCACTTTTGCTAGTGCTGCGGTTCTCCTGCCGCTCCTCTTGAGGAGGGGTGTGTGTGGGGGGAGGGAAGGCAGTGCCAATTCTGTGACTATCATCCCTACCCCCAAGATTCTCAACTTCCTGAGAGTTACTCCTATACGTAAA